TGCATGGGCTTTCACAAGGTTCCCATGGTTCCCATGTATGGGCTTTCACAATGCCCATGCATGCATGGGCTTTCACATGGTTCCCATGTATGGGCTTTCACAATGCCTTTATGTGGGAAACATGTGAGTGCCCGAATTGCTGGATAGGTGCCTTCACAGGTACCTATCTGTGATATGTGTGCAGTACACAATGTACTTCAAAACAGACCAGGTGTGAGGAGGGCCACTTATGCGCAAATGCTGTGCACTGCTGCATGTATGTTTTGATGTTTTGATGTGCCAGCATACTTTGGCCCGAGCAAGTTTTTTTGCATGAGTGGCTCAATGGCTGATCCTGCCAAAGCCAAATCTGGGACTGCCATGTCGGCGGATGCGCCACCTTTTGTGTTGGCAGGGCGCCCTGTGTCGTACTCACCGCCGTACAAAGTTCCACCACCAGAGCTGCAGAGTGCTCTTGGATCTCAAGCAGTGGTGCGGAAGGCTCCGCCAGGCCAAGCTGACCAAGTTCCTCAAGCAGTGCCGCGGAAGGCTCCGCCAGGCCAAGCTGACCAAGTGCTTGGTCAAGCAGTGCCTCGGAAGGCAGTGGCAAAGCAGGCTGAGGCCAATGCACCTGCTGTTCAAGCACAGTGGAATGCTGCACCAGTGGGACTGCCGACGCCGGAGCTACAACACGCCTTACGGGTAATGCGCAATTTGCAAGCGCTGGAGGCATCCCTCGATCTAGCTCAGTTTGACTTTGGGCTCAATTTGTTTTATGTTTGTGCATGGCAAAGTTGTCAACCAAATCCATGAAAATTTTTGATTGCTTGTGGCATGTTTGTTGCATGTAGGAACTTCAACGCTACAGCATCGATGTCCTTGATGATTGGTGCACGGTTGGCTCACAAGAGCATCGCTGGATGAGCAGGCTGCGTGGTTGCATTCAGTGTTTGTGCATGGTCTAGTGCTCATGGATTTGTCTTGGGCTTTCACAAGCCCATTGTCTTGGGCTTTCACAAGCCCAAGACAATTAGTGTTGCTTTGTTGTTTGAAAACTTGTGTGTCTGAGGCAATTGCAGGATATCGCTCGCAACCTCTCAGATTGCAGGAGGCAATGCCTGGTGGTGTGCCAAATGTGTGGTGTTGACACACGTGCCTGAGTGAGTGGCCAGGGCCGGTGAAAGAGTTCACCCAAAGGGTGAATGAGTGTTTCAAAGGGCTGGTGAATTCGTTCACGTTTCACCTCTTTCAGCTGTACAGGCTGACGAATATGAGCAACGTTCAAAAGAATACTATTTGATGAAACTCGTATATACACATGCAAATTATACATGATGAAACGACCGTATTTTTCATACAGAAAATGACTGTAAGATGAAACGACCGTATTTTTTTGAAACGACCAAAAAAAATGGTCTTTTTCAAACGACCAAAAAAAAAGTGGTCGTTTCAGGTTCCAGGTAGCTATGTGGGCCCAACTCATGACCTACAAAGCATATACAGTATAACTACACTCCCACGTTCTGAAACCCTTAAAAGGTCACAAACTGAAGGTGCTGCTTGGCAAGTCAAAGCTTCAATTGACGATATTGATGTGTTTGAAGCTTGTCCGTGAGCTTTTCCGAGGTTTGTCTGTTCAGATGTCGAATCCATTCCACTCATGGCAGTCTGTGGGTGTTGAACGTCCTTGACCATGTGGCAGCCCATCTGTCAGAGGCTGCCGTCCTCAGGACTTGTGCAGCCACGACACCACGACACCGTCGTGACCAACAAGGTGACGTCAGTACCGTACCGGTAAGGCCGGTAAGGGCCTGTTTAGCCTGTAAATGGATGAAATGCCGCACACCCCAAAAACGACTTCAAGAATCGCCAAATGAATAAAAACAACCATGATGGAAGAAATCTGCCAGCTGGGATGTCGAAAACAGTGCCAATAGAGGGATATCCCCCTATCATCCCTATACTCTCATGGTGCCAGGATTTCTTCCTTAACAGAGCGGAATCTCGAAGTGCCCAACAAAGAGCTGCCCAACACTACCCAACTACATCATATGGGCTGAAAAGTCGCTCATATCCTAAACCACTGGGTGTGCACTCTCCCCTTTAACGCCCCTTCCACGTGGAAAGTGGGGTACTTCACTGGGTACTTCAAGATTCGCCTCTCTACAAGAAGAGTTGCCAAAGGCCCGTGATGGAGGTCCTGGTTGGCGCTTCCTCGACACTCTGACAGCCCAAAATGCTGCAGTGGAGATGGTCTGCAAGGTTGGCAACAAAACACCCCTCAAAATCCATGTCTTTGGCAGCAAAGCCGAAAATCACTGTCTGATCTTCCGGAGATCCCTGTCGCCCAAAGCTTCACTGTTTGTTATCCTTTGGTTTTTGTCCGCTTGGGGAGACCGGGTTGATCAAGCCCCACGACGTGGTATTCGTGAACTGAAGATGGGAGCATCAAGTGTTAAATGGTCGCAATATATGTCACAATGGATGTTACTTCCTTCTCAATCAGGAGCAGAGTGAATCCTCTTGGAAATCGAGGGTGCTGTGTTGATGGACACGTGAAAATACCATCTGAACCTGTAGGTTCATGACTAAATAGAATGAGATTCACCGAACACGCGGCATTACCCAGTTGCCAAAGCAACTGATTGAACAGGCCGGCTGCGCGAACTTCTGACTCACCATCTCTGAGTAGACTGCCTGTGGGTGTGGCATTGGAATGGGTCTTCGACATGTCTCATCCTCCCCACAGGGCAGGTTGAACCAGAGCCAAGTTGGACTGACCCCCAAGGTGGGCTTGAACTTTTGACCTGACAGAATATACTGGAAGCGCTTTGACTCGTCCATGTTGTCGACGTACCTCTGGTAGGCTTCTCCCGGTCGTACGAAGGGATTGGAAGAAGGCCTGGCGCCTGACGCAGGGCTCTGGCCCTGGATGGCCCTGGAGCTGTCCTTTCCTCCAAGCGGTCACCGAAAACCAATCCCAAACGCTGCCTGAAGGCTGCCTGTATGCAAACGATGGCCTACAGTTGGTGGTTTTTGCTGGTGAATGTAGTTCATATCTACTTTGCTCACATGGAGCGTTCGGGCATGGGAGATGAAAGCTCCATCGTGACCGACGGATCCTCTAAACGAAGTTCCCAGAGTTGTGCACACTTCACGCTAAGCTAAGCTCGAGGTGGCCATGGTCAGAGGAACTTGTTGCCCCTTTTTGACACTAGACTGCAAAGGCCAAACAAAAACGCTGGTTGGGAGTTGGGAGGACACACACCCATTGTTCTCTTTTTTGGGGCCAAGAGAAGGAGGGAGGCACTGACCTGTTCGGGAGGCAGAATAGAGACCAAGCTGGCTGCACCCTGCAGCTCCCTACCGCTCCCTGCAGCCCGAAGCACTTCTGGAAGCAAGCCCATGACCTTCCGCCACAGTGAAGTCTCCGAAAGACCAATTTGAACACAACAAACTTGTTGGACGACCCAGACTCGACACTCCGGGACTGGAGTATATAATTGTGCCTACATTGACAGCCTGAAAGTACAGGTTCCCTATAGACACCCCCCTTTCAGATGGTGTTGGGATCCAAAAACCACCAGAGATGGTGTTCCAAAGTCCCTGGGAACTCCTTGGCACCGAATTGAAAGGTCTATAAGTCGGTCTAGAGCAGTTAGATGCAGTCCAGCCAGGTCCCCATCTCAGGAGTTCCTTCTTTGGGCGTGCGTCCCACTCGTCATGCACGGTTTCGTTGCCACGCGGGGTGCTGGTTTGTCCCTGTTGTTCGTTGGTTTTTCGTTGGTGTTCAGTTTGGAGGGGAGTGACTGAGGCGGACTCCAGAAGATGAGGCGGGTGGACTGACCTCAGACCTTCCATGTGGACACCAAAAAAAGACACCCCCTCGGTTTCCTCTTAGCGAGCAGCGAATGTTCATGTGAATTCGCCCATCCCTGGCCGCGCAGTGAAGTGAGCCGACCGGGTGGTTTAGTCAGGTCCCATTTCAGCACCTCCCAAAATCGAATCTCTACCATGTCCGCCTGCACCATATCATATAAAATTGCATTGACAGACTCCCCATCCCTGCTTGCAGAACCAGGGAGTCTCTTTCAGAACCAGGAAGTCTCTGCCAGATTCGCTTCAGGTCTCAGACCCTCCGACCCACCAGCCCGGCCGAGTCGTGGTGTGGCCTCTTGGCAGCCCGGCCTTGAAGATGGCTTGTCGATCGCGGGCCAACTGCTTGAGGAGCACATCCACTGCCGCAGCGTTCTTGTCCACCTGGGGGACAACACAGATCCGATTGCCAAGGGCGAGAACAGACAGACCAGCAGGTGTGACAGGGTGTTTTCGTGCCCAGCAATCAACGAATAAAATACACCGAAAAGTCTTTGATATTGATACCTTGCCTTCAATGAGTCAAGTATCCCTTCACACACAGCTCCATGCTGCTCCACACTGCCCAGTGTTGACGAAATCACCAAAACACTTCATCCACCATCCTCAACCCAACGTCCCAATCCCGACCGCATCCTTCCACCCTCATTGTCACCCTTCTTCATTCCACTCTTCCAAGCTCCCACCGTCGCCCCAACCGCTTTCGCCTCGGCGTCCATCTTCGCCTGTTGCCCTTCGGGAGTCTCCATGAAAGACCTGCCGAGGCGAAGCGATGAACCCGCGCGGCGGGAGGGTCGGCCGGTTTAGGAGGCAAAGACCAAAAGTTAGGGGGGATCACGTCTGATTTGGTGAGGTCTTTTTGAGGAGAATCGCAATCGAACATGTAATCAAAAAGCCAAAACGGCTTTTTGCTAAGGCAGCAAAAATGGTTTGATTCAGCCAAAGCAGCCAAATAGATTGATATTGATTGGCCACACAGTGACACTAGATGAATGCAACCCTAAGAATTTGGACTGGCTGTTCATCCAAGACCAAAGAAACAGCAACGACATGCAATGACGCAGGTTGCATTACCATGACAGTGTAAGCAACTGTGGGTAATACTGCACTGCAGGATGCTACAGATCCAGAATGATCCAGTAGCTTGGAGCAAAGGTGCTGGTCGAATTCTGTTCATGCGTGCTTTCAGAATCAATTGCGGCCAATTCACAAAAAGCAGGAACTCCTTCGATGATTTGGATCCATCTTTCGAAGATCGGATCATGTTTGGAGATGGGCCCTGATCAAGTTTTCTCCTTCACCTTCAAAACCAATCTTCAGTGGCCTATGATCTGCTAGCAACACACAACTGGCAGTTGAGGATCCGGCATGATCATCATGTAGCGAACCTGAGAGGGTCAAAAGCAGCCATGAGCAAAGCAGCCAGTGTGAGACCGAGCCAAGAGTGAGGATCAAGCCAGCGAGTGACTTCGTAAAAATCCCAAGAACGGTCGAAGGCTTAAATGAGAATCACACACGTCATCTACCCAGTTTATATAAAGAAAACACCCTTTGGCACTCAATACGCACTTATTCAGATGCTTTTCTGGGAGTTCCAACAAACATCCAATACCTTTTACTTTCAGTCTGAGTCTATTTCAGCCATATCTCAGGGCCTTTCCTCGCCCTGTTGCCCTCGCCCCGCACGCCCGCACGCACTGAGCTTCCCGCAAAGTTCACGAACTCATCCTTGGCAATGACCTGGCACTCCGCGAACGTGGCAGAAACCGAACCATCTGAACCCTCAGAAACAGAACCCTGTGGCGAAGGAGTCGGGTTTCAGTCTCTTTTCGCTTCAGAAAGGGTCCCAAATCCTCTCATCTTCGACCTCAGTAACCGAGGTGCAAAATGAGAATATCTGCAATGAAGAAACCATAAGAAACATGAAAAAACCTCATGGGCGCCAATCGGCGCGTCGTCTGCTTGTCTGTTTGCACCAGGCTTCGCTTGGCCAAACAAAATGCAGCAGTGCAACTCCACACTGTGCTGTGGAACATGTCCAAAACGACATGGAGAGACTCGTGAAACAATTAGTAGCATATTCATCATTATTCATCCATATTCGATCGACTTCGACATGACAGTGGCTGCCACGCAACGTTGGAAGTTTGTCAGGCGGAATTGGTTCAAAGGAGTAGAGTCTGAGACGGCCTATCCTGTAGGACATGGACCGTCACCCGAGCTTTAAAGGGTCCCACTCGCGTACTGTGAGTCCGTACCCCATGTGAGTCCGCAACTGTACTTGGCCCTTCCTTCGGAGCCCTCCTCCCCCACGGCACAGCGAGAGGTGCCGGGCCCCGTTTCGATCGATGTCGAAGATGTCCACGAAGCGCTTGCAATGCTCTTCAGTCAAGACAAAGGCATGAGCCTGGCGGGATCCAATATGATCCAATCATCGATGCAAATCCGAAGAAACACCTGGGTGCTCAGGGGGCAGGATGAAGCAAAGGTCACCATGAACTGGGATTCCTCATATTCTTCCGCCCATGTCTTCGGTCGCCTGTGTGAGCTCTTGCACCACCGGCAAAAGCTCCATGGGTTCCAGGACGCCATTGGAATCCTTCGGCGTCCAGGTGGTGCGGGCGGTTCTTCAGATGGTCGAAGAAGCACGCCGAGATGAAGCCCGGGAAAGAACGAAGAAAAGATTCACCATGGCCCTGGGGCCATGGGGTGGTGAATGGACATCCGAATCACTCCAAAACTTTTAAGACACAAATGGGAGGCCCTGGTAGAGGGAAAACCCTACTAACTTGAGGCCGGGGGTTGGTGACGAAAGCTAGCATGGCTTGGAAACGGGATGTGGCGAGGATACCTCTCCGAGAGCGCAAGGTATCTGTGTTGTTGATGCAAGGTATCTGAATCTGGTTTCCGTGCGTTGATTGACTTACTACGAGTAACAGTCAAATGACCGGATGTGGATCCTAGTGGATTGTCCTCTTCGTGCCTTGGCCTAGGCCTACGCATTCCTGAATCAGACGTGGGGGGAGTTGAACCCGCCAGGGGGGGTCCATCGCCCAGCCAATGACTTGTTAAAGCAAGGGTAACTCCAGCTAGCTGACGCTAGCTTTCGTGATCACCCCTAAGCAAAACCAGGAGAATGAATCGGATCCATGGATGGAGATGATGACAGAGCGACATGTTATGTTCCAACTTGGGGAGATGTTGATCGATCATGTCATCCCATCAGGTTGATCAAATCTGGACTCCAGCGCCACAAGCTGTTGGATGGGGCATGGACTTATCCAAACCTATGAGTTGGGAGTGTCCCTCATTTCGAGTTTGTATCCAATATCCATGTCTGACACTCACTTCTGAGGCAGCACACCAGACATGAGTTTAGGGGGAGTTTATGTGGCGCAACTTGGAGGCACTCAGGGTACCAGTTACCATGTTCACAGGGCATGAAAGACTCTCTCCAGGTCCATCACACCTACAGAAGGAGCAGCCTTCACCCGCACACACCTGCAGAACAAGCAAAAAAACATCAGGGCTGTGGTCATCGACACCATCGGGCGTCCCTGAGATACCTTTCTTCTCGGTCCTTGTCCAATTGTTCAAAGTAGGCCAAGCAGGTGTGCTCGAAGTGCTCACTGGAGAGTTCTTCCACCAGCGCCTCTCGACCCGCG